TGTTGGAGACTGGGGCCATTCTACGGGAGTTGTTGGAGACTGGGGCTATTCTACGTGAGTTGTTAGAGACTGGGGCTATTCTACGGGAGTTGTTGAACTCTGGGCCATTTTACAGGAGTGTTCAGAGACTGGGGCTATTCTACGTGAGGTGTTGGAGACTGGGGCTATTCTACGTGAGGTGTTGGAGACTGGGGCCATTCTACGGGAGTTGTGGCAGACTGGGGCCATTCTACGGGAGGTGTTCAGAGACTGGCCCCGGAATTTCCGCAGGATTGAGGTCGGGTCTGTTGGTTTGACATCTTCTGGATCCTTGTTCAGTTAGGTGACACAACAATGAGTCAAACATTTCATAGTTCCTCCACCTTGTGTGGCCCTTAGAGCTCCTCCTTAGGAGCAGTCTCCCTTCTCCTGCACTGAAGGTGGGCCGCAGCCCCTCTCTCTCTGTCCCCCTATTGGCCGGTCTTGTTCCCCGGGCTCTGTCTCGGATGTTTGATACATTCTTTTCCTCACTCTCAGACATACATCTGATAATCCGGATGGGTGAACTCACCGACACAGATGTACCGTCCTCCGGCCGGAGCGATACCGCGGGCAAACACGGCCTGAGCTGTGCACACAGAGAAGGCACGACGAGGAAAAAACAGGACAACGTAAATCTCGTATCCAATATGTCTGCCCCACACAGAGGGGAGGTACTAGACAAGCCCCTCCCCCTACAGGGTGACAACAGTTTAGCCATTTGTTCTACTGACCCTGAGGAGTTTCCAGGGCATCCAGTGCATGCCAGTACACCATGATGGATCCGTCCGACTCATACATCTGCAGGGGAGAGGAGAGGAGGGGTGAGTGACAGAATAGAGAGGAGAGGAGGGGTGAGTGACAGAATAGAGAGGAGAGGAGGGGTGAGTGACAGAATAGAGAGGAGAGGAGTTTGGCTCCACAGGACAGGTAAGTGGAGGGTAGTAGGGGGAGGTGTAATGTAATGACTCCACCCACCTGTGTGATGAGGGAGGAGCTCAGGGCCACACTCCCCTCCTTGGACTGCAGCTGGCGGTGGGAGAAGTTGAGCCCATCGGTGGAGGCGCTCACCATGTTGACGGTGTTGCCATGGACGACGGTGAAGTAGGTGAGGCTCTTGTCACTGATGGGTAAGACGCTGAGGTTGTTGTAGAGTGCCGAGGCGCTGCTCTTCATCTGGATGCTCTTATCCTTCCGATACATGGCTGAGCCTCCTGTGAGGGAAACAGATTACTCCCGGCATGACAACGCGGCACCCCCCGGCATGACAACGCGGCACCCCCCGGCATGACAACGCGGCACCCCCCGGCATGACAACGCTGCACCCCCCCGGCATGACAACGCTGCACCCTCCGGCATGTCGTGAGTGGCGTACCCCAAGGTTCGGTGCTGGGTCCCATGCTTTTTAACCTATTTATTAATGATATCGGGGAGGGAGTGAGAAGTCATATCTCAGTGTTTGCTGATGATACGAAAATCGGGAGGTTAGAAGACACAGATTTAGACATTTTAACATTACAGGAGGACCTGGTTAAGATTGGGGAGTGGGCAACTGTATGGCAGATGAAGTTTAATGTCGATAAATGTACGGTGATGCACCTTGGAGTTAAAAATAGGCAAATGGACTATACACTTATGGGTGCGCCACTAGGAAAGTCTGAAACGGAGAAGGATTTGGGGTCATTATAGACGGCAGACTGAAGAACAGCGCTCAGTGCCAGGCTGCTGTAAACAAAGCAGAGCCCTGTCTTGTATTATGAAGGGGATGTATTGCAGGGACAAGTCTATCATTTTCCCACTCTACACATCACTGGTTCGGCCTCATCTGGAGTACGCGGTCCAGATCTGGTCACCAGTACTAAGAAAAGATGTCCTTGAGCTGGAAAAAGTCCAGCGAAGGGCAACCAAACTCATTAAGGGGTTTGAGGATCTGAACTATGAAACAAGGTTGTTAAAATTAAATATGTTCTCTTTGGAGGTGAGGAGATTAAAGGTGACCATACACTCTACAACCATCGCAAGACCATAGTCTTGCGATGGTTGTACAGGGATTAAAAAAACGTACGATCTGCCCATCTTGGACAGGCAGATCGCACTCTCGATCATCACAAGCCACGCCCCCTGAGGGGCGGGCTTCCGATGACCGCAATGCTGAACGGGCATTGTTCCGAGCACCGTTCTAACCAGCCGAAAATCGTACGATTCCCGGCTGGTTTTCGAACATGCTGGTTCGACGGAAGACGTGCGACCGTACAGTAGAAACGGTCGCACGTCTCCGTTCACACTGCTCGATTCTCGTACGAAAAACCGATCGCATACGATTATCGTACGAGAATCGTGCAGTGTATGGGCACCTTAAGGGGGGACATGATTTGTATGTATAAACGGTTCAATGGTGACAGCAACCTTAGTAACAAACTGTTTACGGTCA